TGACTTCTCAGAGCCCCAGTCCTAAGACAGGTGAATAGATGAATCCACAAGGTCCCTTAGCCTAAGGGTTCAAGGAGTGGTGGGTGGAACTGTCAGAGTGAAGAAGGCTGTGAGAAGGAGTGCCACCTCTTTCCACACCGATGAAATATAAATACGTATATATGTCCAAACCAAATCAAACGACCAAGGTCTCACATAATCCAGGCTAGTCTAAAACTCATTATGTAGTCAAGGCTGTCCCTGAACTTCTGGTCCTCCTGCCTCTGCCTTCTGAGTGCTGGGATTATAGATAAATGCCAGCACACCTGGCCTTCTTTGACCCCTGAGGTACCTGATGCATTTAATCTATCTATTGAAGTCTCCGTTTCCAAAGCATTGTTCTTGAGGCCACAAGCTATGTGTGGATTCCACCCCACCCCAACCTCCACCCCTGCATCCAGCACTTCCTCCCACAGTCACCACCTTGCCAGGGCCATCCCTGAAAACCCAAGACTAGGAAGCAGCAGCTCTGGCACACTCTGCCCAGACCTCAAGCAGATGCAGCCCTGGCGGCTCCATCTGGACAGGATTCCTCTGCTCAGGCTGGGCGAGGAGCAGCGTGGACACCATCAGATTGTGTTGCTCTCTGATAAGCCTGCCTGCCTCCCTCGGGCAGCCCCGCCATCTGCTTTGGCAGTTTCCTGCAGGAATGCATGGCATAAAAAAGACCCCTCTTTGATGGGACCCAGCTGCCTGAAGGTCGGCCCTTGTGGCTGAGTCCAGGCTTTGTCTCAGGGTCAGTACTATACAGTCTCTGACAAGTGCCAGTTTGTGTCACTACACCCAGCATCACTTACCATTCTAGCCTGCCCTCTCCATTGCCCTGGGGCCCATTCATTCAAGATGGAGTCAGAGAGCCTCAAACAGACCTAATTTTGAATGTCTCCAGTGAACACGTGGCTGTCTCAAGCAACACAGTGACAAGGATTCAGAAGCCATCCGGAAGGTGAGGCTGGAGAGTGGTTGGTTCAGTGATGTCCTCAGGCACGTGGTTGAGGCCTCCTCACATAGTCCCACCTCCTAGCTTATCTCAAGCCTTGGTGGACAGTTCCAGAGCCCATTGGCCGATGTCCATCTCAGGTGCCCAGTTCACATTTCTTCTCAGCCTGAGACTTCCTCTGGTCCTGAGAGCTGGCCTGGGCCATTCATATGACCACCTAGAAGTGCTAAGCAGTGGCATTTGAGTAAAGGCTAAAGGGAGTGAGAGGCAAGCTGGTGGATACTGGGAGAGAGAATACTGTAGATGTGGGGCACAGCTAGCACTAATTCCTGGAGCAAAACAAAAACAAAAACAAAACATGAGAAGCAAGTATAAGGAAGCTGGGTAAAATGAAAAAGGCAGAAGACATCAGAGGAGGTGGGAGTCTGTACAGGGCCTTGAGGTCCTCAGGAAAGTCTCTGGCCATTTGGTGGAATTACGAGCTGTTATGAGGCGCTTGATGTGGGTAATTGAAACAAAACTCTGTTAGATCTTTGTAACTTGAAAGTAACAGCAATTTCCCCGACACACACACACACACACACACACACACACACACACACACACACTTCTCTCACCCTGGTTTTGGTAGAAAACTCCCCACTGGGGTCTAAGCCAGGCTACATCTGTCCCTGAAGTCTAAAGGGAAGACCTCACCTAGAGCTCATGGTTGGAGGAGGATGAGTGTGAGACAGAGCAGATGATGCTCTGAGAGAATGAACTCTGGAGTGACGAAACACGAGAGTGTGAGAGTCAACAGCCTTATTTGTGAGGGAGATGTCCCCAGCGGCTGCTTAAAACACCAGACAGTACTGTGCCACATTACCAAGCACAATGTCTTTCAGTGTGTGTGCCCAATATGGGATAGTTTACTTTATAAATGAAACACGAAGAGATTGATTTCAATAGCTATTGACAGTATTATTACAATATTACAACAGCTAATATATATTACAGAAAATGTTAAGGGGATGTGGCCTCTTCTCTTGATAGAATCAGAATAAATAACATTTTCAGAGTTCAGTTGTCTGCAGCAACTAAACCCCAAAAGTGAAACCTATGATAAGGTGGGCTGTTGTCATTTCTGTCCCCATTTCCCAGAGGAGGGTGACTAGTCAGAGATGACTGTGCCCTGTCCAAAGTCACATAGCCAATGTGTAGGAAAAACAGGACTGAGGCCCATGGATTCAAAACTTTGCTTTCAGGATGCCCCTTTCCTCAGACTGCCCTCCTGGCCTTCTAGAAAGCCCCATGGTGGGTGGCGTTCTCTGAGAAGGTAACCGAAGCAATACTAGGGAAAGCATTGTTGACTTTGCCCCAAGTGAACAGATGTGGCCTCAGTGCCACCCAGGTCCCTCCCAGCCTGGGCATGGATTCAGAGTGGATGGTTGTGTCCAGATGAGCAAAGACCAGTGCTCCCAGATTCAAAGGCCCAGGCCAGGAGGGAGCTGTCCAGCATCCTCCTTCCTAGGCCACAGCAGGAGTCCAAATAGGCAATTAATTACTGCCGGCTGGCTCCTGGCTCCCCTTCTCCTATGCTCAACGGAGTGTGTAATGGAAATGGGACCAGAACAGACTCCCCTGCCCAGAGGGAGCCTAGCATGCCAATAGAGGACCAGCTTTGGGGAGAAGAGGGGAGAGGGGGGTTGAGATGGAGAGTGAGTTTATTAAAACAATGATCTTTCCTCACTCTACACCATCCCCACCTCCTGGCAGCAAAACATAGTCTTTTCAGGGCTCTGCCCCTACGTGACTCCTTCCCTGAAGCCTGGGAAGGAAGGGCAGCATTGCTGGTAATAATCTCAGATCACATTAATGGCAGTCATTAGGCATGATACTCATAAGCACTGTCTCTTTAAATCCTTAAATCAGCCCTTTGATGTCCTGTGAAATCTATTTTACTGATAAGGTATGCTGAAACCCAGAGAGGCAGACCAGTCTCTAGGGGATGGTATTCCACAGTGGCAACAGGACAGACTCTGGAATCAAAGAGACCCGTTTATGCTACTCACCAATCATTTGGCTTAGGTGCCTTACTTATTCTTTGTGCCTCCGCTTCTTCATCTACAAAGTGGGGGTGACATGCATGTCCCCCTCATATGGTTGCTGGGACACTGACTGACTTCAAGTATTAATAAATGGTGAGTGTGTGTCTTGAGGGGAGGCCCTGCTGTAGCCTTCTGCTAAGTAACATTAGAGGATGGGATGTGTCAGGTACTCCTGACACAGGAGATGGCCTTCACAAGTAATTAGGAGACTTCATTCACACAATGAGAGGCCCATGGGGCTCTCTCTCTCTCTCTCATCCTGCCTTTTGCACCCCTCCCCAGGCAGCAAGCTTGGTTGGGTATCGTTTTCTGTTCTGGGTATTAAGAACATAACAGAGGGCTGGAGAGACCACTCAGCAGGTCAAAGTGTTTTTTACTAGACAACATGATGACGTAGTTTGCTCCTGGAATGCACATAGTGGAAGAGGAGTGCCAACGCGCACCTGAACATTGTCCCCTGACCTCTGCACGCACAGCACGGAACACACATGTCTGTCGCATGCAGAGGTACCCACACTAGAACAAAGAAATACAATGGGTTTTTTTGTTTGTTTATTCCCTCAGAGACCCATTTAAATTCTGACAATGGATTTTCTTTTATAAAATTTAGGCCTTGGGAGGTTTAGGTAGGAAGGTCAGGAGTTCAAGGCCAGCCTATCCCGCCTGTGCTCCATGAGACTGTCAAAAAACAGAAAGGATGGGAGAAAAAATGAATTATGTTGTGACGAACTTATGCCACACTGTACAGTGCTCCAAGGTTCCCACAAGTGGACTTTGATTGTTGGGAAGGGAGGCCTTGCTGCTTGGGCAGAAGCCATCTTTCCTGAGTACCTTTACCCCTATTCCACTGTTTACATTTTCCCCATATTAAACCCTAAGTTTCCAGTACCCTAAAAAATTAAGTTAAAACAATCTCAGGCCCATGCCCCTGTTAGAGGTCCATACAAGTCTCTCGGCCTCGCTGGGCCATTGCTGCCTCTGAATGGGGCAGTTGATTCCTCTGGACATTCGGACGGACAGATTGGCATACAAAGGTCACAGCACATACAAAGGTCACAGCACAGCAAAGGGAAGAAAAGGGAACTCCAGTCACATTGGTGGCATGCGAGACACAAGGCGCAGACATGAAGGGAGGCCAGGACCTCCCTTCCCTCAGTCACAGCTTGTGAGGGGTGCCGTTGTCTCCAGGAAGGAGGGTGAGTAAATTCATTTCTGTAGCCCCAGCATCAAGCACAGGGACTGGTGTAGGGCCCAGCATTAGGGAAGGGGGAGAGGGAGGGAGGGAGGGAGGGAGGGAGGGAGGGAGGGAGGACAGGAGGGAGAAGGAAGAAAAATCTATTTTTGAGCTACAGAGCACAAAGCTTATAAGAGGAAAAGAGGAAAAATAAAGACCACTGTTGATTCTCCAGTCCTTAAAATGATGAATAATTTCTATGTTTTTGAAAATTTTGTTTTGAAAGATTTATTATTTTTGCCAGGGTGGTGGTGGCACATGCCTTTAACCTGAGTTCCAGGACAGTCAGGGCTACACAGAGAAACCTTGCCTCAAAAAACAAAACATTGAAACCAAACCAAAACACACCCAAGATCTATTATTTTTATTTTGTGTGTATGATTGCTTTGCCTGTGTGTTATATATATGCATGCATGCATGCATGCCTGCTGCCCACAGAGACCAGAAGAGGGTGCTGGATCCCCTGGAACTCCAATTACGGGCACTTGAGTGCTGAGAACCAAACCCAGGTCCTCTGCAAGAACAGCAAGTGTTCTGACCTCTGAGCCATCTCTCTAGTCCCACCTGGACCCCAATTTCCACATTAGTTAAAGAACTCCAAAGATAACTCTTTAGAAAGTAAAGTACACAAAGGGTGGAGAATACTGTGATTTGCATAAAAATAAATAGATGGAAGGACCAGCAGAATATTGACCCATCAACTTCCTATCCTTTAGCGTAAGGCTCCACCTCTCCATGAGGGTCTACAGCAGTTAACGGCTGCTGGGGAGGGGAGATTTTCTCCAGTGGTGTAGCCAATGGGAAGTCGCTCTCACCTGTGCCCCTGCAAGCACACATAATGAGATTCTTCAGGTTAAAAAATAAAACAAAATTTAAAAAGATACCAGGGTCAAAGTGGGACAGGTATCCGTGGGAAGGGGACAAAAGAGGGTGACAAGGGGGAGGTGGGCAGACCAAGCATGTTATATGAATCACATTATTAGGTAAACCTTTAAATGCCAATAAAAACATGAAGGGCCCACAAAGGTGGTTCAACAGATTAAGGCATTTGCCACCAAACCTGATGCCACTTGAGTTTGATCTTAGAGGCCCATGTGGTCAAGAGACAGACATGACTCCTGGGAGTTGCCCTCTGACCTCTACACTCTCATCATGGCATGTGTGCACCCATGCACATACATGTAAACACATAAAACAAAGTGTTAGAAATTCGTTATAGTCTAGAAAAAGAAAAAAAGCAAAACAAATATAAACAAACAAGCAAATAAATAAACAAGACAGGGAAATGGGCTATCTGTCTGTGTAGTTCACACTGTGTTCACAGGCAAATGGTGCCTCTCCAAGGAAAGCAATAAGCAGTTCAAATCAGGTGTGTAGGAAACAGGAATTGGAGGGAAGTCTTTGACACATGCATCTCATACTGTGAACATACAGATGCACTTGTTCCTGAGTCACATGAAACATGAGTGAATTTAGAAAAGGAGCAAACACAGGGACTTTCTGCTCTGGGGAAAGGCTAAGTAAGAGGCTGTGTCCCTTGCCTGCCGACGGGGACACTGAGTGAACACCTCCTGCCTGTCCCTCTCCTCAAGCTGACTCAAGCTAATTATGGGCTTGGGGTCTCCTCACCTATTGATCTTGGATCAGAAGCATTAGATGGATTCCCAGGAGCCTCAGGCTTTTCAAAGTCATTTCCCTAAACTACACATCTCTGTTGTGTGTCGCCTGTGGTCCCTGGATGTGCTCCCATGGTGGCCGAGGGGCAGAGCTGGTGGTGGCTGCTAGAGATGAAGACATCAAGAGAGACCTCTGTGGGGAGGGAAGAGGCCACCTTGGGAAAGAGGGTGAAGAGAAGTGGGAAGGCCTGAACACACCGAGGGTGAGTGGCCGAAAGGAAACCCCTGCCCTGCTTTCATTGCATTCTAACCACACCCACCTGGGGAAGCAATGGAAGAGCCAGTATCTTGTCAAGAGGCTCCCAGCAGTCCTGCAGGCATCATGCTCTGCTATCAGGGGACAGAGAGAGTACTGATGTACAGTGCATCAGGCCCGGGACCTCAGGGTGACCTCTTTCTGCTTATCTTAGCAAGACATCAAACTCAATGCTAACCGCTCTCAATCCCTCCATCTCAAAGGTGGCTTTCCTGGGTGGGGCTGTCCCTTTGTCATAAGGTATCTGGCCAGCTGGAGCCAAGCATCCACTCTGGTCCAATCTCTTGTAATCTGAGAGACGCATAGAGGGCCCTGTCCCAGCTTCCCAAAGCCATGCTGCCTCTGGCCTTCCTGCAATGCCTTAGAACCTGGGATCCCTCCAGGAATGTTCCTTTGGGCTGGAGTTAATGACTGAAGTTGAGGGTCCAATGAGGTGATGCATGAGGGACCCTCGGCACATCAGATGGGAAGAATCCTTGATTCATGAGAACAATAAACACTTGGAAGAGAATATAGACTAGGCCCATATACAACCCCTGAGGGTCAGTCTACGGCAGGAGAAGGGCAGATTCCATTTCTACAGACCACTGTGAGCAGATGGTCCAGAAAGACTCCTGTATACGACTCCCTGGAGAAGATGGGAGGCCCAAAGGGAGAGGAAAACATCCCGTCAGAGACGAGGATAAAAAGGCAAGTCTTGCTGAAGTACAGAATTGGGCAGCTTAGGGACTCATTCCCACCTCCCCAAGTTCAGACTCACATGAACTATGCTCCCAGTGAGTACTTGGTACCCCCATCTGGTCCTTGCCTGGCTGTTATTACTGTGGTTTCTCCACAGGTCTGTGGAGAGCTTCCTCTTAGATAGGTTTCATACTGAGCGCCTGGATTCTGGGCACCTGGATTCAGACCTGGGCAATACACCGGGTAGCTCCATGATGAGGACCAAACTTGGCTTTGAGTGACATTGTGTCCACAGAGGCAGCCTGCAGTGGTACAGGATGCCGGCACACAGGCCTGGGGGAGACAAAGCCCTGGGCCACTTGCCTGGCACAGCCCTCCTCTGGGGTGGGTGCTGAAGAGGAAGAGCCCAGGGACGCAGACCCTCTTCATCTGGAGTGAGGAGCATGCTGGGATTTTCAGGCAATCCTCGAGCTGTCCTTAAATAAGCCCTAATGACTGCTGATTGCTCCTTTGTCACTGGGCTGCCTGTCAGAACCACTTCCATCCGCAGCAGCAGGGGTGAGGGTGGGGGATGGGGACTGTGCAGACCCCTGTGCACACTAGTTTCCCTTTTTAAGATGAGCGTGTGCAGTGGGAGAACTGAGTGCTGCCTGAGCTCTTAGAAATTCAGGCACAGGATGCTCGTGGGGATGTGTGGGGGCCACTCCACAGATAGTGTACTTCTCTGGGGCAGGATCATTTCCCCATGGGACTGATGGGTAACAGGTTCAGAGAACTGATAGAAGACAATGGGGCCCAGGTGAAGTCTCCTTCACCAATTCAGTCAAAGATGCTTAACAAGCACTTACTCTATGGCCAGCATGTGCTGCATGCTAAATGCAACCCCAAAGCCTTGAAATCTAACTGATAACCAGCACTCACTGAACCCTACCATGGGCCAGGAGGTGACCTCCCTATCCTCTGTATCCTCC